CTCCACAGTCCCCTGCACAACTGCACCTCCTCCCCGCACAACTGCACCTCCTCCCCGCACAACTGCACCTCCTCCCCGCAGGGGCGCCAACCTTCTGAAGTCACCTTCCAAAGCCCCGCCCACTCCAGCCAGTGTGAGCAGAGTGGGGAGGTGAGGGCAGCGAGGTCATACGCCGATGAACTGCTGGGGATTGACTTCAGTGCTCTGCCTCCCACCTCCAGCCACACCAACCCCTTCCTAAACTCCTCCTCAGGTGAGTCTCAGAGAACACGAACAAGCTCCAGGTGAGAGAAGTTGAACCCACCTGGTTCTGGTTCCTGCAGGTACAGAACCCCTCAGCAGGATGATGGGTGAGCTGAGGCTAGATGGAGACTCGCCTGCACGATCTGTCCAATCAGAAGCAGAGCGACGGCGTCCAATTACGGGACGGCCATCCGCCGCAGCGCCCGAGCTACAGCGTCCTCAGAGATCTCAGTTACAAGCGGACCAGGTGAGCCAGACTCTGGCGTCTCGGCAGCTTCTCCAGTCTGTGTCCCGGACGGCGGCGCGGCTCCCTCCGGACCAGGCGGCGGTTTTTCTGTCTCTGATGGCGATGGAGGGGCGGAGCTTCAGTCTGGCCGATGTCTTGGAGGCGGTCCAGATCAACAGAGACTTCGCATCAGCTCTCAGGTTCCTGAGCCACAGCTGCCCCATCTGTCAAGAGCAGGTGTCCTTCAGCAAGGTGAGCCACAGGTTTGAACCGGCCAATCAGAGCGCGCGCAGCCGGCTGATGTTCTTCTTCTCTGTTTCAGATCATCACAATGACGCACTGCTCCTGCTTCCTGTGTCAGACGTGCTTCAAGATGTTCTTCACAACGGCCATTAAGGAGCGCAATGTCGATCAGCTGGTCTGCCCCCAGTGTGGCCGACCGGAGGTCAGAGGTCAGGGCGGGCTGGAAGAGTCCATGGACTACTTCAGCCTGCTGGATACACAGGTGAGGCGCGTTCCGGCCTAGTTTGTGTTTGCGTGACCAGTTCTGACACGTGTCTGTTTGTAGATCCGCCACTTCCTGCCCGCCGACGTCCACGAGCTGTTCCAGAGGAAACTCAGAGACCGAGCTCTGCAGGAGATGCCCAACTTCTGCTGGTGTGCTCACGTAAGAACCGACCGATCCGAGCCTCGCAGTCAATACCGCTGCTAGTATCAATACAAACTGTGATCGTCTGCTGCGTGGCGTCCGGTCCTCAGACCCGTGACGCTGTGGGATACTTTTTGTCTCTGCAGCGTGGCTGCCCGAGCCTGAGCCTCGACTTCATGACAAATCAAATCTTAACCATTAGAGAAATGACTAACGAACTCAAAATATCCTGTCTC